CATAAGAAATTAGAGAAAGATGAATAACTCCGAAACAGTTGAGATTAGGACCATAGTTAATTAGGACTTTTTGGTTCCATGGAAATTCTCGGATTTTTTCCCTGCCCACGTTCGAAAATTTCAACGGTTTAGTATGCCAATAGATATGAACTTGGATTAAGAACGTTTTCTTCAGCCTCCCAAACCGACATTTGTGCAAGGAACGTCAGTCGCCTGTCAAAATCAGAGTAGCACTGATTCTAGGATGTGAGGATTGTGAGGATTATCTATCCTCATCTCCGTCTCTCTCTTTCGACTTTTATGATTCCATAATTAATCAATATTCATCTCCCTCCCTCTCTCTCTCTCTCTCTTTTTATCCCACGTTTTGGCAGCACTGGGGGCAACACTGATTCTAAGATATAAGGAATATCTTTTTTTTCACCCCCCTCTCTCTTTCTCTCTTCATCCGCGTTTTGGAAACACTGCTTCTAGGATGTGAGAAATATCTATATTCTTCTCTCTCCCTCTCTCTCTTTCTATTTCTATGATGATTCCACAGTTAATCTATATTCATCTACTTCCCACTCTCTCTCAATCCCGCGTTTTGGCAGCACTGGGGGCAGCACTGATTCTAAGATATGAGGAATATCTATTTTTCACCCCCTCACCATTTCTCTCTTCATCCCGCGTTTTGGCAACACTGCTTCTAGGATGTGAGAAATATCTATATTCTTTTCTCCCCCCTCTCTCTCTTTCTATTTCTATGATTTCACAGTTAATCTATATTCATCTACTTCCCACTCTCTCTCCCAATCCCGCGTTTTGGCAGCACTGGGGGCAGCACTGATTCTAGGATATGAGGAATATCTATTTTTTCACCCCCTCTCTCTTTCTCTCTTCAACCCCGCGTTTTGGCAACACTGCTTCTAGGATGTGAGAAATATCTATATTCTTCTCTCTCCCTCTCTCTCTTTCTATTTCTATGATTCCACAGATAATCTATATTTATCTACTTCCCACTCTCTCTCTCAATCCCGCGTTTTGGCAACACTGTGAGCAGCACTGATTCTACGATGTGAGGAATATCTGCTTCATCTCCCTCTTTTCTCTTTGTCTTGCTCTTTCTTTCTTCTTTTATGACTCCTTAAGTTAGTTTATCTTCATCTCACTCCCACTCTTTTTTTCTTCGTTTTCTTTCGCTTTGTATCTCTAATGTAATCTGTCTTCCTCCTCCCTATCTATGATTATAATGATAACTTGATTTCTTACTGGTTCAATTTTTCCAATCACTAATTTCCTTTTTTTACCGTTTGAGCAATTAGAAATAAACACGTGTTGTGAATGTATTAACGAGCTTCTTTATTAGGGGAGCCTGAGCAGCACTCCTAAATAACTTTAGAGCTCAGCAATGTCGAGGTCACAAACAGTCCAGAGAATAACTGAATAAGAATAAACCGTAAAACCAGTTCATTCATTTTTAGTCTAAATTGCAAACAACTTGGAGTAAGGACGAAAACCGTGCATATTTTTCGTCGGGATATTTTTAAGCATTTTGGTTTTTTGAAAATATATTTTTCAACAGTGTGCCCGAGGAGGGCCCTCACCCCTGCTAGATAGGAGGGAGTGAACCTGGTGGAATTTTCGAAGGACGTATTTTTTCCTCGTCCAATTTGATGTCATTATCCTTTGGAAACCTGTTCCTGGCTTCTTAAATCGGCAAGAACTTTAGCGGGTGGTTTTTCAGTTATGAACATTTCACACATAGACGGAAATCGTCGATACTCCTGGAATTTTTCGTCAATTTTAAGGTTTCACGATTACGATCATGTCGTTTCTTTCTGTTTCATGTTAGGTTTTAAGGCCTCATATTAACGTGTTGAAAAAGCAAATCTGGCGGATCGTCAACCGAAACGCGGCGGACCCACGTACCCGCAAATTGGAGAAATGACTGTTTTGCCGTTTGAGAAAGGGAAAATGGCAATTAGCGACAAACCGTTTTCCTCTCTGGGTTTTCTTTTTTTTTATAACTGGAAGGAAGAAAAATGTAAAATCTGTTGACAAGTTCGTTAGCTTCCTCCAGGCCAATAATTATTTCCGTCGTCCTCTGTGAAACTTTTCCCCCTTTTTTTGCTCTAATTAATTAAAATTACCCCCACACCCTCCAGACTGTGAAACGGTGAAACGAGTCAAAAGTGCACACCCCGAGGTGAAATTCAATTATCCCACCCGGTTAATAAAAGATAGCGAAATTTTACGAAATAAAATTTAATTTATGCGTTTTTTTACAATACCCTAGCTTAATTATGCCCTGATAAACTGATCCAGCTAGCGTATCGAAACATAATCATAGTGCGGGCCAAATTCTGCTAAATGTCTATCAACATGGGCTTTACTTCACTTTTCTTATTTTTCGACTTAATAACAAATTCGAACATGACGTAATTGACAATTTATTTTTCTTTAAAACCTTTTTCTCGAGTGTTTTAAAGCAGTTACAAAACAGAAACTTTTCTTCGTCTTTTCTTTCCACCTTCTATTTGTCGCTTTTTCAGACTTTTTCTTTTGTGCCAACGGAGGCCTTTTGTTCTAGTTTTCTACAATAGTTCTTTTGTTCAGGTTTTCCTCCGCTTGTCGCCGGATCGACTGCTGCTGTAGAAGAAAAAGGGAGCAGCACACTAAAGAATAATGCACAAAAAGAGGAGAGAGATAGATAGATAGATAGATAGAGAGTGAGAGGTGGGAGGTGAGAGGTGAGAGATGGGAGATGGGAGAAAGGGATACGTGAGAGAGTGAAGTTAGAGGGAGAGTGAGACAAAGAGAAAGAGCTAGATAGGTAGAAAGTGAGAGAGAGAGAGAGAGAGAGAGAGAGAGAGAGAGAGAGAGAGAGACATGTGGTAAGATTTAGAAAGAGGGTGATGGTGTGAGAAAGGAAGTGAGTGAATTAGAGACAGAAAGAAAAAAAATCCTTTCATTTTTCGATCCATTCATTTTCATCAACCAAAACATTCATTCATTAGTAAATACGTTCATTCATTCGTTCGTTAATTCATCCATGTGGTTGTTGAACATCCATCCATTCATTCATTCTTACATATATACATCTATAAATTCATGCATTTTTGTCATACATACATTCATTCATTAATCCATCAATTTATCTATCTATTTATTGATCATTAATGTATCCAACCATCCATTAATTCTTCATTCATTCATTCTTACGCACATATGTCTATCAATTCGTGCATTTTTTCATACATCCATTCATCCATTATTCATCCATCAATTTATCTATCCGTTTATTTTTCATCAATTTATACACTCATCCATTCATTCATCCATACAACTGTCCTATATTACACCCATCCATTTATACATTAATTTATTCATCTACCTATCCATTCAGTTATTAATAGATCTATCAATCAATGCATTAATTTATTCGCCCACCTGCATTTAGTTTATCATCCATCCATACTTCATCCATCTACTCACTCACTCATTCATTCCCTCTATCATTTTCTGTATGACTCTCTCTCTCTCTCTCTCTCTCTCTCTCTCTCTCTCCTCCTCCTCCTCCTCCTCCTCCTCCTCCTTTCTCTCCTCCTCCTTTCTCTCTAACTCCCTCTACTCCCTCCCCTCTCCACAAAATTCTTAAACTCTTATATATCTATGTAACGATAGATATAGTTATGTAGGTAGATAGATAGATAGATAAATAGATGATTAGATAGAGATAGATAGTTTGATAGATAGATTGATAGATATATAGAGATAGATAGTTTGAAAGATAGATAGTTTGAAAGATAGATAGATTGATAGATGAATGAGTAGATAGAGATAGATAGTTAAATAGATAGATAGATGGATAGATAGAGATAGGTAGTTTAATAGATAGATATATGGATAGATAGAGAAATATGGTTAAATAGATAGATATTTTGATAGATAGATATATGGATAGATAGAGATAGATAGTTTGAAAGATAGATAGATAGATAAATGAGTAGATAGAGATAGATAGTTAGATAGGTAGATAGATGGATAGATAGAGATAGATAGTTTCATAGATAGATAGATAGATGAGTACATAGAGAGATATAGTTAAATAGATAGATATTTTGATAGATAGATATATGGATAGATAGAGATAGATAGTTTGATAGATACATAGACGGATATATAGAGATAGATCATAGAGATATATGGTTAAATAGATAGATATTTTGATAGATAGCTATATGGATAGGTAGAGATAGATAGTTAAATAGATAGATAGTTTGATTGATAGATAGATGGATATATAGAGATAGATAGTTTGAAAGATAGCTAGATTGATAGATAAATGAGTAGATAAAGATAGATAGTTTAATAAACTGAAAGGTTGAAAGATAGATGAATAAATAGAGTTAGATAGTTAAATAGATAAATAGATAGATAGATGAATAGATAAATATAGATAGTTAAATCGATAGAGAGATAGATGGCTAGACAGATAGAGATAGATCGATATAGATGGATATAGATATTTCAATAGATAGATAGACAGAGAGAGGTTGATAGATCAATAAGCCAACGACTGGACCTACAAATTGCTTAAAACTATAAGGAGTAATTCACATGATTTCTAATGGATATCAGCAAAAAAGCTCTGACAACAGCAGTTCTCCACTTCCTCGCATGCCAATTTTACAGAATGGTGATCAACGTAATTACATAACAATGGCCCTTAAAATTATTATCTTTATGAAAGATTCCCGAATGTTTTGGCAATTTCATCGTGATCTCAGACGTTGAAGGTTCGAGCCTGCAAAACGAAGTCGTTATACAGTAGCTACAATTTTGAACTTATTACGGTTACTCGGTTGCCAATGAGTCGAGACAAGTCCGACTACTTTATAAAACCATACAACGGCTTCCTTTGGAGCCGGCAACGAGCGTCAACACACGTCCCAAAACTGCACCCCACCTCCTTCTGCAGAAAGGTCCGCGACCGGTTTAGAAAGTGAAACGCCTTGCGGGCCTCAGACGGTCAGTACGAGCGAGTCAGTGGTGCAGTAAATATGACGCGGTCAGTCCTCGCAGTCGGTTTCGTCTTCGCGATGTGCTTCTTCGTCGAAAGGGCCTCGCCCCAGGTCCGCCCGCCCAAGCTCCTACTTCCTAAAGCGGAAACTAGTAAGTCACAAAGGGCGTAAAACACATGCAAAAAAATTAATGCTGTTTTGAAAAAAAACCTAAAAATACAGGGATAATTTTTTCAAAACAGTCATGTTCGATAAAAGTTATTATTTTTAAATATTTTTGGAGCAAATTCTATCTTACTGTATTGATTTTCCTATTTCTATTTGTCTGTCACTCAAGCTCTCTCACTCACTCTATTGTTCCATTGATCCCTATGTCATTCACTCTTTTTTCTTTATGTACCTCTGTCTATCTTTCTTTGTGCTTTTAGTCTCTCTCATTATCTCTCCTCCCCTCTAATTTTTTTCTCTCTCTTCTCTCTCACTCACTCTCTATCCATATTCTCCACCAAATTAGGTGACTATAATTAAAACCTCATTTATTCATTAATTCATCCATCCATTCATGCATACCACCAACCACTCATTCATGAAATCATCCATCCGTTCAACCATCAAATCATTCATTCATTTATGTATCTAACCATACATTCAATAATTCATCTGTTCATCCATCCATCTATCTATCCATTCATTCATGGCAATAGCCTCGTGGATAAGGGTTGTGGTCATTGGAGAGTTGGTAGACATAGTGGCTTTCAAATCATATCATCTGTCATTACAATTCACAAAGGAGATAGAAGTGGACTGGAAGCTTTCTTTTCTGGATGTGATTAGGGAAGGAAAAAATTGTAAAGAAAAATCTAAGATATCTAATCTAATAAATCTAAGAATTTGTTGGATCTATCTATCCATTCATTTATTCATTCAATCATATATTCATCTATTCATCCATCTTGTTATCTATCAATTAGAAATTCATCCATCCGACGCTTGATTTATTCATCTATCCATCCGTACATTCATGCATTAAGATTCCTCTAGCTGTTCACTTATTAATTCTTTCATTCTTACATTCATTTATTCTCTCTCTCTCTCTCCCTCTCACTCTCCTTTATCCCTCTCATCCCCTGTCTCTCTCACTCTATCTCTTTCTTTCTCTTTACCAATTTTGAAACTCTTCAGAAAACCAAAACATTATTCATTAATTTATTCTCTCTCTCTCTCTCTCTCTCTCTCTCAACTCTCTCTCAAATTCTTTACCAATTTTTAAACTCTCCAGACAACAAAAACATTATTCATTCATTTATTCTCATTCTCTCTCTCTATCTTTCAACCTCTCTGTCTTTCCTTCTTTCTCTCCCTTTCTCTCAGATTCTTTACCAATTTTTAAACTCTCCAGACAACAAAAACATTATTCATTCATTTATTCTCATTCTCTCTCTCTATCTTTCAACCTCTCTGTCTTTCCTTCTTTCTCTCCCTTGCTCTCAAATTCTTTACCAATTTTGAAACTCTCAAGAAAATAAAAACATTATTCCCTCTCTCCCTCTATCTATCTTTCACCCTTTCTGTCTTTCTCTCTTTTTTTCTCTTTCTCTCTCTCTCCCCCACCCTCTAACTCTCTCTCACTCCCTCTCCTCCCCTTTCTCTTTCACTCTATCTCTCTTTTTCTCTTTACCAATTTTGAAATTCTCCAGAAAACAAACACATTTTTCATTCGTTTATTCTCTCTCTCTCTTCTCTCCCCCTATTTATCTTTCTCTCTTTTCTCTCTCTCTTTTTCAAATTCTTTTCCAATTTTTAAACTCTCAAGAAAACAAATACATTATTCATTAATTTATTCACTCTCTCTCTCTCTCTCTCTCTCTCTCTTCTCGCCCCCTTTTTATCTTGCTCTCTTTTTTCTCTTTCTCTCTCTCCCTCCCTCTCTTGCAAATTCTTTTCCAATTTTTAAATTCTCCAGAAAACAAACACATTTTTCATTCATTTATTCTCTCTCTCTCTCAATCTCTCAATCTCTCTCTCTCTTCCTCTCTTCTCTCCCCTATTTATCTTTCTCTCTTTTCCCTCTCCCTTTCAAATACTTTATGAATTTTTAAACTCTCAAGAAAACAAATACATTATTCATCTATTTATTCTCTCTCTCTCTATCTGTCTATCTATCGATCTATCTCTCTATCTATCTATCTCTATCTCCATGTTTCTCCCTTTTTGCCTTTGTGTTTTTCTCTCTCTCTTTTTCTCCCTTTCCCTCTCTCAATCACATTCTTTACCAATTTTGAAAACGTTATTTATCCATTTATTCTCTCGCCCTCATTCTCCCTTTCTCACTGTCTCTCTCTATCTATCTACCTTGCTCCCTGTCAAATTCCTTATCAAATTTATTTTGAAACTGACAAGAAAACAGAAAATATTCATTCATTCTTTCTCTTTTTCTATTTCTTGGTTTCCATCTCTCACCATTAGACACATATATATTATATTATTTATTTATTATATATATTATTTTTTAAATTTTATTTGTTAATGTATAATATATTTCTATATTTTCTCTCTTTCTCTCTGTCCACCCCGCGTTTGGGCAACACTGATTCTTGGATGTGAGGGATATAATCCTCTGTCTTCCCTCTTTTTGTGTCACTTTCTCTCTCTCACTCTTACTTTTTCTATGATTCACAATTTATCTACCTTCATCTCCCTCCACCTTTTCTCTCCGTCACTCTCTCTTACATTTTTCTCTTTTTCTTCTTCCATGAATTTTCGTTGAAGAGGCAATAGCGGAACTACATACCATTCGAGATAGGTTGTGTTGGGTAGTCAGCCTTGAAAATTTATGGAATTGCATTTATCTATGTATTTACTTAATTTGTTTTTTACTGTCTACCATCATCATCCTCTCACACACTTTGTCTCTCAATCCCGCGTTTGTGCAACATTGGGGGCAACACTGATTCTAGGATGTGAGGTATATCTATTTAGACTATTTTCATTTCCCTCCTTCATCTCTTACTCTCTTTCTTCTATGTTTCCAAAATTTATTTATCTTCAACGGATTTTCTTCTTCTCGTTATTGAAATTGAGACAGGAATTGTGTTTATTAAGTCTACGCATATACGGATACATCTGATTATTGAATTTAAAGTTTCATCTCATAACTGTATCGGCCGGGGGTGAAAGTAATTTACGTAAATCGATCCAGGTTGAAATTAAACACAAAATCACTTCCTCATTTGAAACGGGCAATTCTTCGATTTGCCCAAGAAAAATATACACGGAAACGGTTCGATCTCACCGTAAAGCGTGTTATGAAAGTCAAATTTAAATTTGTTCGCTATACATTTTCGAACCGGATTATTTTGCCAATTTTAGCTTTTTTTGCTGGCCCGAAGCCAAATGAACATTGACAAGTGCAAAGGGACGAGGACGGATGTAGCAACTCGCATCGTGGCTGAGCTTTCTCCGGCTTTAATAGCCTCCGTGTAGTTTTTTTTTTCTCACAATACTCGGGCGTGTCTCATACTCAGATCATATTTTAATCTCGATTAGGATAGCGATGTAAAAATAACTTAAAAATGTTTAAAAGGATTGTAAAGAAAAAAACTAAAAGCAAATCCCATGCTTTTGTTTTGTTACCAGGCGTTATAATTCCACTTTCTTTTTCGCCTAATTTGTATAATTGGAATTAAACCGTTTAGGAAGATATTTGTGTTTCCCCTCAGGGTGAAATTAATGCGAATATTACTCGGTAAACCCTCGACTCGTCACAGCTGGACGATTAGCTTTAATTTGTTTTCCAAGACGGTTCATTTCCTATTGGCAATAAATAACTGGATGATCTAATAAACACATCTGATCGTTTTCGAATTACCCTTCCCGGTTGTTTTTTTTTCTTTCGAAAAATGACAGAATTATGTTCGCTACGGCCTTTCCACAACGAACATTTAATTGTAGCCAATCAGGAAATATCGAGATTCAATGATCAAATTTAATTTTGCACATTGGCAAGATTTTCGCCGTGCCAATCGAGTCCTAATGTAATTTAATTTTTAAACTGTTTCATTGTTTGCCGGCATTTTTGAATCTATTCTTTTATATTTCTGTTGGCTTATAAAATCAAAGACTTTAAGTCTATACCATATTCTCTCTTTAGTTCTTACTTTGTTTCATTGTTATTTTCTTTTACATTATTTTACTAATGTATTAATGTATTATACTACTATTGTCTCTCACTCACTTTCTATTTCTTCTCTATTGTTATTAGTTTTGTTATGACCATGCCGCGTTTTCTGTCTCTCTCCCTCCCTCTGCCTCTCTCTCTTTCTCGCTCGCTCGCTCTCGCCATCCGAGTTTGGGCAACACTGGGGGCAACAGTGATTCTAGGGTGTGAGGTATATTTATCTCCCTACCTCGCTCTTCGCTCTCTCTCCCTCTCTCTTTCTCTCTCTCTCTCTCTATCCCAATCTCTTTCTTTATCTATGATTCTATCATTTATTTTTTTCCTCCCTCCTTCTGTTTTTTCTCTCTATCTCTCTCCCTCTCTCTCCTTCCCTTTCTATATCTTTCTTCTTCTATGACTCCATAAGTTAGTTTTTTATCTTCATCTTCCTGCCTCACTTTCTTTCTTCTTCTATGATTCCACAATTTAACTATCTTCATTTTCGTCCCTCTTTTTTTTCTTGCCTTTTTGTTTGTTTGTTTGTTATTGCTATATTTTTATTATTCTCCACCTTCTCTCTCTCTCTCTCTCTCTCTTCTTCCCTTTCTATATTTTTCTTCTTCTATGACTCCATAAGTTAGTTTTTTATCTTCATCTTCCTGCCTCACTTTCTTTCTTTTTCTCTGATTCCTCTCCCTCTCTCTCTCGCTCTCTCCCTCTCTCGCTCTCTCGCTCTCTCTCCCTCTCTCGCTCTCTCCCTCTCTCTCGCTCTCTCTCACTCGCTCTCTCTCTCTCTCTTCCTCCCTCCCTCCCTCCCTCCCTCTCTCTCTCTCTCTCGCTCTCTCCAGTTTCACCTCTGTAGTATATATTTTTTTAAATTTGTTTTGTTATTTGTTCTCTACCTTCCTCGCTCTTCACATACCCCTACATCTCTCATTAGTTCTTACTTTGTTACATTGTTACTCGCTTTTACATTAGTCATTATTATCCCTCAA